AAATATCATAACTACAATGGTTTTCAATTCCATTGTCGTTCGTTGAATAAAAATATGTTTTCAGATTCCCGAACAATGCCGTATTATTTCTGGGGGCGAGTTCTACGCGACCCGCTTTGTTCCAAGTGCTCCTTTTTAATGTAGTCTTAATGGATTTATAAATGATAAATAAACGCCCACAGCTGTAGCAGAAGTAAGCAGAGATCTTGTATCTGGAGTGAGCAGAATAGAATAATATTTTTATTTTTATGGAACAGGAGGCAAACGAGCAAGTATATCACCTGATGGTAAGTGATCACCTGCGCCCATTGAACCTTGCAAAACTGTAGTAGTCGCATCTACGCTGCCCGTCTTTTTGTTAGGAGTAGGCTGTCTTGGAGGTTTTAAACTGATGTTTCTCCGTTTATAATTATTTATGCGAGGAGGCAAGGGGATACACTTTTCAGCTGTGCCCAAGTGATTACCACCGCTCTTGCACATATATAATAGGTATTATGCAGATGAGATGCAGAAAAGCAAAACTAAAATACTTTCACTTCACGCCCTGTCCATGCTTCCACTCAAATGTCTTTAGCGAGGTCGAGGTACTTCCCCAAATGTCCATTTAGGAAAACTTTAAACTGTACAAATATATAAGTAGAATTACAATAATAACAATAATAAAAAATATTCTAGTTCCTTAACATTGTATATCTTTTACATTTCAAGCTACTCAACTTATACTCTTACATAATTATATAAGGTGGTGTTTACACTGAGAATTAAGACTTTTTATAATTCAATTTCAAGTGTTCTGGCCTCCAGGGTTCTTTAATATTTTTCTGTATAATTGATTGGATACATTATTCATACATTCTTGTTTTTCCAAAGATTTTTACGTGTATTTTTGCGAGGCAACAGTTTTCGATCGGTTCGTTATTAAGAATCTTAAAAATGAGCTGTTTTGAAACTAAACACCCACGTGAAGCGGCGGATAAAAGCTAAAAAAATAGATAAAAAAAGTAAAATTGCAATTTTCCCGGCTATATTTCCAATAACAGATTTTGCCGCTTTGTGTGCAGCGAAGTGCTAAGAATATTATCTTCCTTCGGTAGTCTTGCAATCAACATTCTTACTTCAGTCTGAGGATGCCACGTGTATAGAAATAAAGGTTTTTAGATTCTTCAAAATCAATTTGGCTGTATCGAACCTCTTGTGTGTACTTAGTAATATGGACATCACATTAGTAATATGGACATCACATGATATCACATAAAGCCAAAGAAACTTCCACCGCGACATTTTATGTGATATCAATATTTCATCGCGAATCAACTTAATTATTTTTAAAAGTTTAATGTGAACTTATTTTCTCCACAGGCCAATCAATTTACGTGTTTGATTTTAAATTTTAGTGCAATTCTGCGCATAACATGAAACTTCGAAATGTTTAGATAAATTGATGTCCATTAAAAATTTAGTAGATTGCCAAATATTTACATAAAATGGAACTATTTTATAGATTTTATCGCGATCTTCTCTTATTAGACTTAATTTCTTGAAGTAATATATGACAATTAAAGGGTTAAAACCTGTGTATGGAAAAGTAAAGTTGACATAAAACAAAAAGATCGAACTCTGCCACAAGTACGTCTTCAAAGCGATTACCTTAATTCATTATGCGTTCCATTGCGCAGTTTATTTTAGCGTCGAGTAAATTATATTGATTCCTTTAAACTAAGGAGTTTTTCTCCTTTCATTAAAGGTAGAAAAGATTTTAATTAGAGAGCTTTGATGTTATTAACCGTGCAGCTAGGTAATAAATCGCAATTTTATATTTGCATCCAGCCTTCTTGCTCCGTTGAATAAATTTCAGTTCGATAACGAGTACATTTTTTAATAGGCAATTATTTTTTTTTTAAAGTTATTTAACAAAAAAAAGAATCTCCTTCAAAAACTCTATTAATACTAAAAAGTTTATATTAATACTAAATCTAATATAATCAAATCTTGAAAATCTAACCTATGTAACCTATGTAACCTAACCTACCTAACCTCTAACATAATTTAACAATTTTTGGAGTCGAAGGCAGACTATTAGACGCTTACAAATCACACAATAGCTTGGAACTCGAAAACACCGTATTAATCGTGTAAATATACTGTTTTCGTTCTCAGCTAGCCGGAATAAATCTGCTTAACCTTTTCGAGAGTACAGACGTGATGTTATGTTGTGCGACTGCAAAAAACAATGCATATTTATTCGATAGCAGCAATCACGGTTGATTTGCTGTCATTTGTTGAAGAATTTCTCGAGAGTTTTAAAAATCGGTTCTTTTATGACGAAACATAAATAAAAACATACAACAAAACTGAGAACCAATTCTTGTTTTGAAGTCGGTTAAAAAGTTATCCACTATCACTTGACATCTGCAGACGGTTAGCCAAACTTCAACAGGATAGGCTACCAGTTAAATTATATATATTTATCCCAATACTTCGTCTTCAAGCCGGTTTTATTAAGCTCATGTTAATACCATTCGTTGAACATTATTCAGCTCATGTCATTGCCACAATCATTCGTTGAAGACCACAGTATTTACCAGTTATAAATAAACGCGTTGTTTCTCTGTTAAAACTTAACTCTTTAGCGTTAAAATACGAGGCACCAGCCGCGCTCGAATGCCGAGTGCCCTTGAGCACGTCTAGGGCTATGCCAGTTGAGAGACAAAAAGGGGCAACGTTGAGAGCCGAGTTTAAATACGGGAGTAGCAGCGGGAATATTTTTATCTTTGTTCATTTTTCATGGTATAACTTTTGCGGTCACGATTACGATACGTAAGTAAAGCAAAGCAACAGTCTATATATTTCCCTGTCCTGGGCAAAGGGGTCCTCTTTACATAATTTGTTACAGCGTAGTCTACTAACTTTGGATTAATAGACTTCACATATCTTTGAAATGTTTTTATGTTATTATTTCGCAAATATGCAGGTTCCCTCACGATGTTTTCCGGAGACACAAGTGTAGACGTAACAACCTACATTTGGCCAAATTCAATATGGAAAAAGGCTCTTTCACAGAAAGTATTAGGGCAATAGAAAGTTAAAACTATAAAATAAATAGTAGACAATAATTGCAAATCTGTAAACAGTCGTGTAGTAGTTAACATACCAGCCAGCACAAGCCAGAAGGCATTTTACCCTCAGTGTGTACGGAGGATCTTTCAGTGTCAACTTATTCATTAGTTGCTTATTTTTGCGAATGTATTAGCACATCTGCCGTCTGCTCTGTGTCGCGGTTTAATCGGCTAATGGAATCGTCAAGTCACGCCGCTCCGGCCCTCGAATAAATGAATAATACGACGTAATAAGCATCGCACTGCACTCCAAGATGTATAAGGCTTTTAGCGTAACTTATAACGGTAATTTTAATAAATCGCTCTCATCTGTGTCAGTATATGGTAATCGGTTTACTTCACACTTTGACTGCTGTCATTGAGGTGATGAATAGGCTCATTATTTTTAGATTCAGCACCGAGATCTAAGCTTAATTTTATTCCGAACCCGATTTTTTTATCCTGAAAGTGGAAAATATTTATTTTTAAGTTCGGTCGTCATGTTACAAATTGTGTGGACCAAATTTACATAAAGATTCCTTTAGTAATTAATGCTTATTTAAAAACGTAAGCAATTAACGTGGATTTAGACAACGCTAAGAAAAATGACTTTTAAAAGCCTTTAAAAATATGACACAATCTCCTGCATCAATTGTCAACTTTGAAACATAGTAGCGATAATCGAAAAAAAGTGTTATTCCCCTGAGGAGAAAGCTTACAGTATTTCTTACCCAACCACAAACAAACTCGCAACAAAAGTGACCGCAGTGGCTTCCAAAGCTATTTCAGGCATCGACTTCTACGATAAAACAATTAACCACGAACTTATTGTAATTTATGTTGAACAATATTTTTTTTATTCCCTTATAGACTCAGGGTTCAAATATTCATCGGAGTATTAGAGAAAGAGACAGAGTAAAATGAACCGTAATTCGTTGACTGGTAAAGATATAACAAAAAGCAGAAGTAAAAATATGGGGCAACCACATTCAGTCTACTGTACGCAAGATTTGTGTGATAAAAGACATGAACTGAATGTAACTGAACGAGACAGTAGTAAGTGAGTTAAAAAGTTTGACACAGGATCGCAGTATGAAAGCAAGTGTTACGAAGCCAGGCAGATTTGTATACAGCGCTGGCGAGTGCAGACTTTCCTGTTAGGCCACACAACTGTTGTACAAATGTGCAGGTCCGTCCACGAGAGTACCACAACCTCACAGAAACATTTCTGCGTTTCGTCGGTTGATTTGGTAACCGGAGCCCAATTATTAGAAGTTGGCAACGCATCTGCATCTACGGGTGTTGCAAATGTCCATGGGCGGCGGCCATCACTTATCATCAGGTGAACTGCCAACTCGCTTGCCAGGGTCCACTTTTTTTTTTTTTTTTATGCGAAAAGTTGTTAAACGAGCAGACGGTTCACCTGATGTTAAGTGAATACCGCCGCCCATGGACATCTGCCACACCCGAGGGTTACAGATGCGTTGACAACCTTTTGAAAATTGGGCTCCAGCTACCTCACCCACCAGACGAAACGCGAAAGTATTTGTCATACTTCCACTTTACGCTGATCTTCTGTGAGGTCGTGGTACTTACCCGGACGAGCCTGCCCATTCGTGCAACAGCCGTAGCTGCTGCGTGGCCCTACCACCGTAAGAAAGGTGGCAACGCATCTTCATTAAAAGGCGGCAACGCATCTGCATCTACGGGTGTTGCAAATGTCCATGGGCGGCGGCCATCACTTATCATCAGGTGAACTGCCAACTCGCTTGCCAGGATCCACTTTACTAAAAGGTGGCAACGCATCTGCAACCGTTCAGGTGTTGCGTATGTCTATGGGCGTCGGTTATCACTTAACGTCAGGCGAACCGAGCTCGCTTGCCACATCCCAAACTAGACGCCAACCTGCGACCACCAGGACGTCGATCAGGGCCAGTACGGCGAGGCTGGCTACGCTGGCTGGCTCGTCCCAGCGCACGTCGTCCCACAACGCCGAGCAAGCGGTCACATTCAGCGAGCGCATGTTACGCGCCCCGCTCGGCGCGGCGCTGGCACCGCAGCGAGGCGCATCGCCCGCTCAACGTCAGGGGGGCGCGCGCATCGCCGCCTCTACACCTGCACGGACGGAAACAATACTTGTGAGCAGCATAGAATATTTCAGTTTTGCTATATATTATCACGTGCTCCGCGGTCAAGGAAAACATCGTGAGGAAACAAAAAAATATATATTACGAAGTATGTGAAGTCCGCCCGCGATACTTCTCTGCGCCAAATCTGTTAATACCGGTTTCCATTGAATTTCCAAACGCAAAAATATTTTAATCGTTTGGACTTTTAACATAGTAGGATCATCGTTAGGACTTATAACTTCTATTGGATATTAACTCATTCCAGCCGAAATATGATTAAAATCGGTTCAGTAGTTTAGGAGTCCATTGGGGACAAACAACGTCACACGAAATTATTTTATATTATGTATATTATTCGTTTGCGCTTAATTTGTACACTTTTTTCATTATTGCGGTATTCACTTAACATCAGGTTCACCTGATGTTAAGTGAATACCGCCGCCCATGGACATCAGCTACACCCGAGGGTTCCAGATGCGTTGACAACCTTTTGAAAATTGGGCTCCGGCCACCTCACTCACCAGACGTAACGCGAAAGTATTATACTTTCACTTTACGCCGGTCTTCTGTGAAGTCGTGGTACTTACCCGGACGAGCCTGCCCATTCGTGCAACAGCCAAGGCTACCACCGTGCATGGTAGGGCCACGCAGCCCTACCACCGTAACATTATTTCGTGACAATGACTAGTGCTGTATATGCAATAATCTTTACATTGTATAAAACAGTCGCTTCCGATGTTTGTACGGTTATCTTTTAAACTACGCAACGGATTAATGCGGTGTTCAGCAACAGATAGAGTAATTCAAGCTAGGTTTATAGATATGTACACATGCATATTATAGCAGAGAAAAGTCGATAAATTCTATATCTACATTGCTCCCGTGCGAAGCAGGGGCGGGTCGCTAGTATTGAATATTTTCTATACATAAGTCATAGATAGAATATATTATTCTCGCAACTAAACAAAAGACTTCAATTAAAGTAATATCTAGACTGGTGTACTGTTTTTTCCCGTTTAGTACACACGTTGTACATAAAATGATATAAATTTATTGTTAAACAAAAACATTAGCTTGCAGCCGATACGATAAAGTCTTACATTATACTTAATTGAAATCATTTATAAATAATAAGTGAGGTATTCCGTCAAGGCGGCATGTTCTTCTAAACTTGAGATCAAATGATTAAGCTAGTCTTGTCGCATACTTTCTATCATAATTGGTTACAGCGGAGCGTATGTATGTACACATTTATATCATTTATGTACACAAAGTCAGGCGCAAAGGGAGCTGGTGGTAGCAGACCGATTTATGTTCAAAGTTTATAAGCCGCAGGGCCTGAATTGTACGGTCGTAGGGATCATTAATGGTCCCAACTTTATTTAATAATGGGGACTATAAATAGATTCAGTAGAGGAGTACCTCTGACAATTTCTCTTTTTTGTGAGAATTTAGCGAGCAGCTACACCAAATGCAAAGCGATTATTACCGCCCATGGATATATATTTAAACTTTCTTTTGGCAAGCAGATGCGTTACCAACTTTCAAGGAATTATGCCCGTTTTCATCATTGATCCCTAACTTTAAGGGAAACCTAAAAAAAATAAGTGCTAGTTTCGTATTCAACACCGCCAAGTGTCACCTAAAGTTTTAAGCGTAATAGTGCCTTTGTAATTTTTTAGGTGTCCCTTAAAGTTAGGGATCAAATGTGAAAATGTTCATAACACTCCTGTTACCGCGCACACCAAACGAAACGTAAAAGTATACCACTTCCATAAAACGCCGGTTTCTGTAGACCGTAGCATTGTTCCGGACGAACTTGCCATAGACTCCTGTTACCCCACACACCAAACCTAAACGTAAATGTAAAAGTATATCACCTCCATAAAACGCCGGTTTGTGTAGACCGCAGCATTGTCCCGGACGAACTTGCCCATTCTTGTAACAGCTAAAGCCATTGCTTGGCACTACCATAGCGAAAATACGTCCCTAGTAAAAAATACGTAATGATTTTACTTAAATTTATTACCGTTTCTTACGTTACCTTTTCTAATTTGGTACGGTTTCTCGTCTGACAAAAAGAGGATCGAGCAGCACGTGTTTCTAGATGCCGTTATATTTTAATAAGTCTAGTAAAGCATCAAAACATGTCGGTAAAAATAAATAAAAATAATAAATAGCAATTTTAATAATGTTTTTTTTTCCATCACACCTTTTGCTGTGTATGCACAGCAAGGGAACAGCAGAGCAAATAAAACCACTCCAAAAAAAAAAGTTTAAAGTATTATTTCACTATGATTACGTAACATCAACAAAAACTATAAGAAGATATTAAACATTGAAATTGTAGCAACTGTACAAATATAAAATACTAGCTGCAACCCGCAACTACGTCTGCGTAGAAAAGAAAGGCGTAACATTCAGACAGAAAGACAGATATACATAAAATGTGTATATAAATTATAGTCTGTCTTATTCTGATGTGTAAGCTATATTATTGTAAAGTTTCATTAAAATCTATTCAGTAGTATTTGTGTGAAAGAGTAACAAACATCCATCCATACATACAAACTTTCCCCTTTATAATGTTAGTAAGGATTACTATAACGTACATTACGAACATATATAACGTTTACTCATTAGAATACTGTCAATAACAGCACAAAAAAGATACTAAACTTATTTTAAGAAATGGAATTAATTAAATTTAATTAATGCGCGAATGCATTACGGTTTCAAAATTATTTGAAGGAGGAAATTATTTAACAAATTACTACATTATATTAAAGTAAAGACTATAGCAGCATTAATATGTAGGATTAACTTAACGTCGAGTTGGGAGGAACAGTTTAATATTACTTTTATGAATCACTGTATCATGTTTTTTGTTCTTATAAGAATAAAGTTCCTTAAACCTAAAATAATTTATAAATTATAATAAGCTTTAAAAACTGGTAATAAAATAATTCATATGATTTAATCATGTACATTTTAGTTTCAATATACGGTTCGCGTATTAAATGAGTATATTTGAGGAGCGGTATATAGATACATTCTGCCCACGACCGCGTAAGGTTCATTTGTTAATTGAAACGAAGCCGCCGGAGCACCGTGGGCCGGAATTAGAACATTGGCCAGGTAACCGGCCGCGCTGTGTAAACTCGCTGAGGTTCCCAAACGGTTAAGCGGGGGCGGGCGCGTGCCCATTGAAACGCGACCTGACGCAGTACGGTCCAAGTCACAAGCGCCGCGCCGAAACATTTAAGCTCGCTAGATCACTGCATAGTATAAAACAAAGCGTCCCGCTGTCTGTCTGTCTCTATGTATGCTTAGATATTTAAAACTACGCAACGGATCTTGATGCGGTTATTTTTACTAGATAGAGTGATTTAAGAGGAAGGTTTATATGTACAATACAATACCCGCGCGAAGCCGGGTAGTGCGTGTCGCTAGTTAAAAGTAAGATTTAGATTTTTATTGTTCCCAATCAATTACTTACTACACATAAGATGGCACATTAAAATTTGTAGAAAAAATGAACGAAGAGTTTTAGGTACCACAACTAGAATATTCAAGATGTCGATGCCAGTCATCGACATCTTGAATATTCTATTCTCATTCGTCAAGCAGTTTCATCCAATATAAAGGCGGCAACTTTACTGAATATTATCAATTAACTGTAGTAGCCGGGGCCCAATTCATTAATAGGTGGCAACGCATGTGCAACCCTACGGCTATTGCAAATGTCCATGGACGGCGGTTATCACTTAACATTACGTGAACCGCCAGCTCGTTTGCCACTTTGTCCCATTAAAAAATACATTTTGTGGTTGAGTATTTTTAAAACAAATCTTGTTAATTTAGATCTTCATCCTTCGTGCTGTCAACTCGATATACAACCAAAAATTGTGGCAGAGCTCCGAATGCAAGTCTGACCCTATTGATTCTATTTCAAAGTTGCCAAACGCTCCTAACTTGTACCACATCATAGGCTCCACACGATCAGTCCTCTAATTAACTGTCCCAGTCCGTCGATGGGCTTTATTTGGCTTTCTAATTGCCTTGCGGAACTACGTGCTCTACAGCTGATACGATCGATTACTTCAAGATTAATTTCTGCACGAGCCCCAGATAACGAATGCGGTAATTGGTTAATAGTGACCTTAAAACATTTATTGGTTTATGCGGAAACCAGGTAGTAGAGTAGGAGGCCTCCACCGGTGCGTTCTGTATGAGATCCCGAAGTCCCTTCAAAGGTACGAACCCCAAATAACCCTGTCATGTATGTACAGGATATCTTTTGAAGACTTTCCTTCGATACCAAAAGAGGTAGGAGGTCACATTAAATCTCCTTAATGGGACGGAAAAATAATAATCTTAGTGCTCACGAACGTTGCTTACGAAGTGAAGATAATTATATCTTGACCGTTTTATTGCAAGAAACAAAGTATTACTGCACGGCAAACGTGTTCTTCCGATCTATGTTTGCCAATTTAAAATATAAGGGCGTATCCTAATCAGTTCTAGTTTTCACACAAATTTAAATTTAATTGAACAAATAAATGCCCTCTATCACACAACAAGGCTACAAAGCTAAGGCATGGAAGGCCACAGAGCCGCTTTATTATTAGATAATAGAATGCATTCAAGGAGAGAAATAGCTGAAATTCTGTCACCAATTAAACATTAATTACTACTGTTAATTGGATGTTCATCGAGATTAAACTGCACCTTAATTTATAATGACACAAGAGTAGGCAATACAATCAAATCATGTTTAGAAATTGCGTCTAATACTACATTCTCAAAGGTTGACATCAAACGATTTGAAAAAGATGCGTTCTGGATATTTACTCAACGGACGGGTAGAACGACGGAGGGCGAAATTCGAAAG